CAATAAGGTGCTTTACTGGGAAAGCGTTGCTTCCACAAAAATATAAAATATGTTAATTGTTTAATACATTTGATCTTTATAAAAGCAACATAAACATTTCCTTAAACCAAAATAATAATATGAATGTGCTAATCTCAACAACCTGCCCACGAACAAAATAAGCTAGTTCAGTTCCATCAGGTAGCGCATCATCCTAAAATACCAACTTTTGCAACCGTAGATCTCTTCAGAAAAAGATAAAAATCAAGTATCTAGTCAACTAAATCAGCCAACTTGATTAATCAAACCAGAAATGATGACAAAGATACATCCACCCATGACACAACTTAACAACTTCAAGAACATATACTAACTTTTGAGTTAACCTAGCAATGTATAAGAACTCAAATTCAAAACATTACGGTGACAATAGTGACAAAGGGCTAACCTTAATTGATTAAGTGCTATGAAAGGAGAAAAAAGAAATTAGTTCTTTCATGAGGGTTAATCCCTTAAGACTTAAAAGATTCATCAAAATAAACACAAACCTTGAACCCAAAAAGTCTTGTATATTTACATTATGGTCTAACGTCTTAAAGGTTTTCTTTGGTGCCTACATTCTCAAATAGAGCACCAAAAGGCTTGAATGAATATGATATGTTTATCATTTCATATTTAATGAAAACAGAGAAAGAAAGAATGAATTGGTGTACTAGAGAACGGGCAATATTAATCTTACTTCAAGGCTCTCCAACTTCCTGGTCATTCAAATAAAAAATATTTAGCTTTCTTCAAGATTCCATTCCTTCTTCTCGAATAGGTCACTTGTTGATTGCTAGTGCTCTCTAATCTCTTTATCTTTAACTTAACCCTCCCCATATTGTAAACAAATGAGAAAGCCCCATAAAACACCAATGTCGCTGGTGCATCTATGTTTAGCCAATCCTAACCTACTTCAATTCTCCAAGCCAAACACTTGTCTAACAATAGAATGAATTAATTCCAAGAAGCTCCAAAATGACCATGAACATAAAGGTCTGAGATAAATTTTTTATCAACAATAAAAATTGGTCAAAAACTATGATACCTTAAAATGATTCAATTGTGTTGTAACTGTTAACCATTATTCTCTGTTTCCACAAGATCAGAACAGAACCTAAATCTAACTTTAAATTGTTTTTTTTTTATTTTTTAAAATGATAATTGGAAACTCAAAACCAATCGGAAAGTGAGTGAATTTGGTGGCACCTAGAAAAAGAAATTATAGAAAAGAGCTAAATAAAGAATACCCAAGTGAAGATTTCAAGTTTCGAACAGATTCAAAACTGTGAAATCCCTAGAATGTATAACTCAGAACAAAAAGATAGATATAACGAAACAAAACTTTGAGAAGGCTAAAACAAGTAAAAACCCATATAAGGAAATGGGTTCAGATGAGAAGAGGAAAGTTGAGAGAGGAATTAGTAGAGAGAGAGAGGGGGGGAGGGAGGAGATGAAAGATTACGATTGGATGACGGGCTATACGATGATTGAGGCTGGAGAATCGGTGAGCTATCAAAAATTTCACAAACTACCTCGTACAAAACAGGAAGGGATAACAAAATCAATCAATTATATTAGGGGAAAACTATGGTATAAAGAAGAATGCTAACCCAACACAACAAAAATGCTAACCCAACACAGTAAAAAATGCTAACCTAACACAGCAGAAAACAAAAACAGCCATCAGCTGAGTTCGAAGGAGGAGAGAGAGAGAGAGAGATGGATTTTTTGGTTCTGTTCAAGATGAAGATGAAGACCTAGAAGAAGAAGGGGTGTCCATAGAGAGATTAAAACCTTCCTTTGATTTCAGATTCACAGCTAAAGAGGAGATGAGATGAGCATAGTAACCCTCAACAATTCATTCGACCTTCATCATCACAGAGAGAGAGAGAGAGAGAGAGAGAGAGAGATTAAAACCCTATGTTCCCTTTCTATTTGGGCAAATTAGAAGGCAAAAGAGTTATTTTGTAAAAGCTCAAAATTTTAATATATATATATATATTTTTGTGATTGGCGCTCAAATTTTTATTTTGGCACCTATTTTTATTTTAGTTATACTACTCACGACAGAAATTGCGTGTCGTGAAAAAAAAAATATTTTTAACGGCTAGCATATGAGCGTCATGGAAAGTGTACTTTTTAATGGCTGACTTTTTGTGCATCGTAAAAAGTCTGATATTTTTAACGGCTGGCTTTTTGTGCACCGTGAAATGTTCAATATTTTTAACGGCTGGTGTACGCGTGTCGTATATAGTTGATGTATTAATGGCATGCCATATGTACGTCATAGAAAGTTTTATTATTTACGGCTAACATTGCAAGCCGTAAGAAAATCATCATTATTAGCATTCATGGCCTATGCAATAGACACACCGTGGTTGGAAAATTATTTACGACATGGAAAAAATGTAAGTCGTAAGATTGAGAAACTACGGCTTGCATTTACTGTATGTCGTTAATGTGGAGCCGTAAAAACTCAGTTTTGCTGTAGTGATTAGTGTAACTAATTAATCTTAGTTATTATTAATCAAAATTAATCTATGACTAATCAAGGTTTAACTTAATCTTGCTTAACTTAATTAATCATGATTAAGGCTCACTAATCTTGCTTAATTAGCACTAATCTTGATTAGTAAAATTTCACATGACATTGAAATCATAAACACATTAGTCTAAGATCTTTAAGCTCCTCAATTATTGTATAGGCACATCATAGTATTCACAAATCTAAGCTTAAGGCATTCTCCTAACTCTTAATATTTTTCAAATGTTTATATTCTTAAATTGGTTTTATCACGGCATGTTTCTCAGTTCTAAATTTCTTAACGAGTTTTGATGAAAGTAGGCATATAACATAAGGTAGGGCTTAGGGTATTTAAAGATAGATGATAGTGTTGTTGTAACATGTGGCATCCTTTGGGGTGTCACATAAAGTATCCAAGTCCTAGAGCCAGCCAAAATGGGGTGTCTACACTTGGCCTGGATGAGTAGATCCAAGAAGACAAGAGCTCGACCTAGGTAAGCAGGTCCTTGATGAACAACTCACCTAGGTGAGCAGATCCAAGAATATAAGACCTCGACCTAGAAGAGTAGGTCCGAGAAGATTATATATCAACCTAGGCAAGTATATCTAGAAGAACGAACTCACCCTAGGTAAGTAGATCCAAGAAGACAAGGCCACGACCTAAATAAGTACATCCATAAAGAAAATCCCTCTGCCTAGGTAAGCATGTCCAAGAAGTGAAAAGCGTGACCTAGGTAAGTAGATCCAAGAAGAAAATGGCTCAACCTAGGTGTGTAGATTCAAGAAGAGAATGCCTCAGACCAGGTTAGCAAATTCGAGATGAAAAGAGCTCGACCTAGGTAAGCAATTTCGAGAAGATCAGAGCTTACCTGAGGTGCACAGAGTTGAGATAAACAAAGCCTACTCGAGAATAGAAGATCTTGTTGGCAAGGGATTGTTGAGGCCTTACAATGTGGCTTGACAAAATTTGGAGCTCGGATCTAATGATATTGAAAACCTTAGTCGATGTTAAGAATAAGTTGAAGGGAATGAGCATGAAAATGAATCGAAGGGAATGACCCTTGATCGAATGAAATGACCCTTGAGGGGAGAACAACCCTTGAGCAAGTTAACTTAGGCTTGCTAAGAAGGCAGAGTTGAACTAAGTTAAAATGATGTTCTAGTGAGGAACCGTATGATAAACCTAGGCTTGTCGAGAAGGTAGAGCTAAACCAAGTTAAAGTGATGTTCCAGTGATGAACTGTGCATTTAACTTAGGCTTGTCAAAAAGGCAGAGCTGAATTAAGTTAAAGTGATGTTCCAACAAGGACTATGCGATTGCTGAGAAGGCAGAGCTGAACTCAGTTAAAGTGATGTTCCAGCGAGAAACTGTGCATTTAACTTAGGTTTGTTGGAAAGACAGAGCTGAACTAAGTTAAAGTGATGTTCCAGTGAGGAATTGTGCGATTAACTTAGGCTTGCAAAGAAGGTAGAGTTGAACCATGTAAAAGTGATGTTCCAGCAAGGCACTGCGCGATTAACTAGGGCTTGCCAAGAAGGCAGAGCTGAAACTAAGTAAAAGTGATGTTCTAGCATGGAACTATGCGATTAACTAAGGCTTGCCGAAAAAGCAAAGCTAAACTAAGTTAAAGTGATGTTTCAATGAGAAATCATGCAAAGTTTAGCCAAGCTAAACAAATGGCTAAAGAAAAAGTCGAGGTAACGAATACTAGGAATTATGTCCACTTAAGGCAATAAGAGTTAGCCTTAAGTGTTAAAGTTTAGTCGAGCTATACATATGGCCAAAGTCATGAACGTCGGTCAAGGATGCTAAAGTCTGAATTGTGATTGTTGATCCTAGCAAAGTTGCTTAAGAGGTCAACGATTGGCTCTAGTTAGTTCCACGTTGTCATGGAAGTTGGGACGACAAAGTTGGAATTTGAGAAGATAAACATTGAAGCCAAGTGCTTTGAAGTCGACGTGTCATGATCTCGATCAAAAGTGCAGTTATTGTTGTGATGTTTTAGCCGACATGTCATGACATTGGTCGACGTACGTCCCATCACCTCAATATTTCTAGTGTAATAAGACCTAGGGCAGTTAAGGGGACATAATTTATGAGTTGTCCAAGTGGCCTAGGCTGTTAGCCGAGGTTACACGTGGATGGTGATGATTAGCTGAGGTGTGATGTGATTACACCAAAATCCGAGATATTCAGAGAATGACTAGAGTCCTAAATGATGACAAACTCCTAGATTGGTGAATTAGGATTCTTGTGAGAGGTGTATCCTAATCCAATTAGGAGAGATGAGTCCAAGATAAGTATTATACTAGTAAAGGATAAAAGTCCTGTTGAAGTAAGACTTTTAAGATGAGGAGGATACAAGTTATTATATAAGGCAGACTCTCCATGGGTGAGAGGTGTGTTTTAACTTGTGAATTATTGCTTGAGTTACGATCTTGTTTGATTATCTAGTGGGATAAAGTTGCTGACTTCATTGTTGGAGTGCCCTCCCGGTTGGCAGCAATTAGGATAGTTATTTTGTTCATGTTTGTTGGTGTTGATTCCATCTAGTACACGTGCTTTTCAGCTTCGTTCCCGGGATCTAGGAGAAAATCTAGAGTTTGGTTGTATAGTCAGATTTTGACACCCACAATTGATATATCTTAGAGTGAGCAAATTAAAAAATAATAATAATAAAAATTATACAAAAAAAAAATTAAAAAAAAGAAATTCATGGCAGTGAAATTGTATAAATTACATGTCTAAGAAGATCTATCTATATATATAGTTGCATACTTGAGCTAGTGTATACATACATATATATATATATATATGGTTACATTACAATGCATTACATGAGGCAGCAAGCATTGATATTATCGTCGTTGAACATTACAATACATTACATGAGGCAGCAAGCATTGACATTGTCATCGTTGAACATATTGCTAACTTTGTCATCTCCCCTGTGAGTAACTGGAATGGTACCATGCAAGTCCCCGACATTGTATCCGTGCCTCCAATAGTTGTAGCTCTCTTTGTAATCGTTAGTGAGGTCTTTGAAATAGTAGTTAGCAGATGTGAAATACAAAGGTGGGTTTGGGTATGGCCAAAACTCGGCTCTCTTCCCAGCCCTCCTCACTGCTTTCAGCACTTTGTTGCGATCAACATACCCTATCGCTGTCACCTTCTCCATCTCTAGATTCACTTCAACTGAATCTACCCCTGCATCACCCACATATATAGAGCCATACACACACTGAAAAATATATATGACATTTGTTTTGTCTTTCACTTAGTATATATAGTTTTAGATCATATATTTGCACAATTTGGTTATTGAAAATAAATTATTTTTATTTTGGTAAATTACATTGATATCCCTGAAGTTTGAAAATAATATAATAATCCCCTTAGTATTTTTTTTTCATAATTACACCAACCTCTCTTGTCTCTTACTAGTTAAATAAAATGAACCAAAACTTGTATAGATAATGTGAAGACGGCAATAAGTAGTGATGAAAAGTAGCGAGCAAGGTTCTAAATTGTAGTATCGGGTAACGTAATGGTATCGGTCGTGGAGTATCGGTATCGGTAGTATCAATCGGTATGTATCGAGAATCGGGTGTCGCGGCAGTAAAATTTTAAAAATCATTTTACAACTTTTTCAACTTTTTCAGTCCCGTACCGGTTTGAACCGGTGAGTATCGGCCTATCGCGGCTTGTATAATGGTTATAGACCGATACGTATCGGGACTCGGCTGATACTCCTGGGAGTTTCAATCTCAACGGTATACCAGCCTGCATCCGTTGCGGCACCCTATTTTTCCGATATGTATCAACAGATACGTAGCGTATCGGCCAGTATTTAGAACCATGGTAGCGAGTAATTATTATGTAAATTAAAACTTGATAAATTTGTGAAAATTATTATATTTTTTCTAAACTTTAGAGATGGTCAGTGTGACTTACGATTTTTATTTATTTAAAAAAAAAAAAACTCTTTAATTTAAGGGTAATATTAACACACCTCTAAGTTTGTAGATGGCGTTCTTGACAACTCTCTCGCAGCCAGTGCAGCACATTCTGACTTTGAGTTCCACAGTCTGTAAAAGTAAACACGGACAATAAGTGAGATGCTCTGTTTCTTCAAAAGTGAACACGGTTTTCCTCTTTCTACTTATTCCTTTGTTCCTTTTGTTCTTCTTTGACAACCTTTCTAACTCCCACCCTAGGCGGTTGCAATAACAAATTAAAAGGGATTAAGAAAAGCTATTTTCTGTGCCTTTTTATTAAACTTATGAGTCTGTCAATCACAGCACAAAAGCATGGAACATTATCTTAGTGTCTCCTACATCTGTTTCAATACCCCAAGCTCATATAAGAAACTTGAACCATTAAAAGAATTCTGATGGTAGAATATGCCAGTTTGGGCTCAAAAATAAAATAAAATTCTTCTTTTATGCTTTATATATATTCTGTACAGTAGACTTGTGTATTATGCCTTTTGTGTCGGATTAATAATTGAGATTCACTTATCTCCAGTTAAAATTTTAGTCCCGTGCACAATATTATGCCATGTTAGTTATTTTTTTATTTTTTTACAATTAAAAGTCCAAATTTTATCACCACACAAATAAATTTAATTTGAATAAAAAATTTAAAACAATATTAATTGGGTCAATAAATTTTGTGAAAGAAAAAACAAACTGATGCCTTCAGTTTATAAATATATATATATATATATATATTAACTTAACATTGTCTAATACTCGTGATTAAACTTTTCTCATTCAACGTCTAACTGAAAAATAGTAATTCTCTTAGTAGTAATCATGGGCATAGCATGATTGTGAGCCCACATATAATCTTTTCTTGAATTTGTGTTGATCCTGGAGCAACATGTTCAAAAAAAAAAAGAAAATCGAACAATTAATTGATAAATAACCTAGCTTTCACCCTTATAATCTACTGATTTTTTTTTTTTTGGCAACTTGTCTAGGAAAATCCATCCCTTTTTTTTATATGGGCTCCAAAACAAAAAATATATCTAGAAGTTTTACTCCTAATTTTATTTAAAAATATTGAGCCGTCCAAATTTACGCTGTGCGTGAACACTGTAATACACTATTTTTTTGTTTTTAGATGACTGTAATACACTAATTGAATGTTATTGTCAAACCACAATTTACAATTCTGAATACTAATTCTACTTATGTATCGATTACTATCTAAAAATGTGTTCTACTTTTAGCATCTCTTTGTTTTCCTTAGGTTGACACTTGGCATGGTTAAGATGGATTGTATGTTTAAACAGGTGGCATATATAAAACATCATTTTCATTTCAACCTCAAAATAGTAAGACTATCGCATGCCATAGCCTCAATACAGCCAACAACTCCATGTTTGCATAATTTATTTCCGTGCTCATATTTTACAGAAGGCCGATAGTAATTAAATGTTTTAACCTTAACTTAAAAACAACGTATATTTATGTATATATTATAACCTTAGTATGCAAAAAAACAAAACAAAACTACATAGGATGTGAAAGCCAACCTGCAAAGAAAGGGGTCGACCCTTGGGCATGTTGTGGTGGGTATGTTTGATGCTTTTGTGGTGGGTGTGTCCACGATGATCGAAACAGTATGCGATAGCTGAAATCAAAGAGGAGAATACTCTCTCTGGTTGGCTAGCCATTGGCAATTGGATCGTTGGTTATATAAAGACTTCAGAGAGAGAGAGAGATAGAGATAAGAAGATAAGACAAACCCAGGCCTAGAAGATATTCCCTAGAAGGCATAGCTTTCTTTAAGTTTCAGCCTCTTTAAAATTGAAAAATATTCTAGAGAACCAACGAAAAAGTTGTTTATAATACTATCCGGGAAGGCAAATTAGTTTCTTGTGCTTAAATTCAATGGACTTGGTTGGGATAGGGGCGTGGGTAATCAGTACCCCTTCAAATAATTTTAGAAGAACCCTTTCGACAGGGAATGGTATCTAAAACCCTTACATTAATGCTTGCAATGTGGGTCAAGCTAAGCCGACATGACTCTGCTGACAACTCCAAAGCAACCCAGAATATATATCATATCTATCATATGTGTGGGTCAGATTGATGATCTTAAGGAAGTTAAAGGTGGGTTTTGCAGGTAAAGGAAGCAAAATATTCTAACAATCTCCTTTTATTTTATTTTATTTTTTAAGTTTTTTCTCTATTCTTTAACTTCTTTGCAAATCACCACAAAATAACTTGTGCCATATATCAGCACAGCAAAGCCCAATAAAACATGAAAAAAGAGAACCTTTATTTCAATACTTTTGTTGCTGATATATTCCGGCACTGCCATAAGTTGGGCTTTATTTCTATGCCATGGATGTTTCACATATTATATACAGAAACATTAGAAAAGAGAACCTTTTGGTGGTTCTATGCCTTTAAATGCAATAATACTACAAATTCATAATTTTTACTAATAATTTACTCAAAAACATCAATATGTGGTCCAAATTAACATTGTATATTGAACCACAAAACACACATTAAATCTCCATCACAATTTTCGGATATGTTTGGTTTGTCTCTCAAAATATATTTTTGAAGAAAAAAAATTCCAAAAACATGTTTGGTTGAATTTTTTTAAAAGGAATTTCAAAATTACTTTCTTCTCTATTATATATCAATCAATCAATTATTTTTTCTTTCTCCTCTCTCATTCTCAATCACTTTTTTCCTTACACTCATTTATTCAACTACAAAAAAATTATCAAATCATCGAAAACTCTAAAACTCCAAAATTATTTTCAAAATATACAACAAAATAAATTTTCAAATTTTTTAAACTCTCTAAAAAAGATTATTTCCCAAAACACAAATCAAACTAGGCCATAATATTTTTGGGATCGTAGTTGTACTATAGTCTTAAAGCATCTTTCATATTGCCTACATAATACTGCAAACTAATTATAAGTAGCTGAAAATTTTATAAAATTAAATATACTGTTTCATTTTTATTAAGTAATCAGAAGATAAAAGATAATCCACTTCCTATGTGTTGTACCAAGTAGACAATACTAGGGATTTTTGGAATAATATATCCCATTCTTAACCACTAAGGACAACACAATGGTTCTTTCACGCGTTCACACCAAAAGTAGCTTTGGAAATTTTCGAAAGTACAGTAAAGGAATAAAGTCCTACAATGGATCACTAAATTTACCTAGTAACTAACAAATTTGTCAAAAATATATCAATTAGGCATATTATTCGGGGATTAGAATTTTTAGCAGTAATTTTGCAATAGTGGTTTATTGATGGTCTGACTTCCAAAATACAATTAACGGCATGGTTTAAGGGTGGTTTAAAGTCACCACCATTGAAAAGGACACAACTTCTCTCCAGTAATTAGAGGGTGCTGTTTGACACGGGTGGGTCTTGATTCGGGCATATATTGATAATCCAAACCGTTCAATATACAAAATCAGTCAAGTACATCATTCTTGTAAAAAAATTACGTTGATTGAATATTGATAATCATTTGATTAGATCTCATTTCATAATAATTTTCAAATAGAACTTTCAAAATAAATTGTGACAAAAATGTGATCTAATCAAGTGGTTACCGATATCTAATCAACGTGATTTTTTGAAGGAATGACGAACTTGACAGGTTCTAAATATTAAACCGTTTGGATTATCGTCATAGTTCAAGATCAAACTCTACTCATGCCAAACAATACCCTCCAGTAACTAGTGAGGAAGGTGTACCTGCTGTGCTTTGAGTACAACGATGTGTGTTGTGCGAGGAAACGGCACAGTATTGACATTTTATTTTATTTTTTATGTTTTGAGAAAGAGTTGTTGGTTTTATTTTTTAACGAATTAGTTTTTGATTTGAAACCCAAAAAAAAAAAAAAAAAAAAAAAAAAAAAAAAACTGATAAATCTTCAAAGTCATTTACTGTAGTAAGGAGTGAAATGTACTAGCATATTTTTTATTTTATTTTGAAAATTCACATGAATTGAGAGATTTAATGTATATTTATTAATTATTATATTTTTTATGCTTGTAAAAATCAAATGAGACGTTTTTTTTTTTTTTTTGACATTGGTATTTATTAAAGTATAATTGCTTATATTTTATTCTTCACACATAAATATAAGTCATCTGTTATATATTTAGTGTTTTCAAAATATCATTTCTAAATATATCTGCATTGATATGCAAGTAATTATGTTTTATTATTATTATTTATTTATTTATTTATTTTTTATAACCAAGTTGTCATGACCCAAACCCACCTCTAGAGGTTTGAATCATGACTGACCAGTAATCCTCAATTACATTCAGCTTCAATAACAAAATCAAATTAGATATTTATACATGGGGCTTAGCGGAAGCGCAATCAATATAAATAAGTCCATTGAACGGTGCATACGTCGCAAATTTCATAAATATTTTAAACTTCATTCTTCATACATGTACAATAAGCTTAAACTTGTTTTACATCCATTTACAAAACGAGTTTCCCAAATATAACAAAGACCAAACCTAAACAAAGGATTGACAAGCTTGGCTTCTCTCGAGACCAAGTACTGCCCCATCACGGAAGCACTTCTTGTATGGCTTCATGAAAGGATGGATTCCCGAGGCATCTAGACTTAGCGATCTACTTGCTCACCTACATACATATATAAGGGATAAGGGTGAGTTGGAGCCCAGTGAGTAACATCAATATAAATGATTTAATGAATAAAGTCCAACATTTCATAAACATATCCATTCAAGTCCAAGAGGATTCATATATCAAATTTATACCAACCATCTATTTTAACAATATCCATTGCAAATCATTATACGTGATAACATCCAATAGAGGATAACATCCAAAAGAGTAACAATATCGATATGCCAAAGCCAATGGGACCATTAAGGTCAATTCGATGGAACCAGAAATTGCTTTTCCTCTAATCTACATAACTCTTCTGTCGGCTCTGAGCAATCTTGAACCTCTGGTATATGATCTTTATCTTTTTAGTTATTGCTTGCACAAGTTCTAGTCCATATCAAGCTCTATCTCTAACCTTCGTCCAACAAATTGGAAACCTACACTTCCTCTCATACAATACCTCATATGATGCCATGCTGATACTAACGTGGAAACTGTTATTATATGCAAATTCAGCTAAAGGTAAGTGCATTTTCTAACTACCTTGAAATTCCAAAACACACATATGAAGCAAGTCTTCTAAAGTTTGGATGGTCCTCTTGGTTAGCCCATCGGTTTGTGGATGATGAGCAGTACTGAATCTCATCTCGATTCTCATTGCCTTCTGAAGAATTTGCCAAAATCTATAAAAAAAAAAACTTAGAATCCCTATCTGAAACAATCAATAATGGAACTCCATGTAGATGAATAATTTCATCAATATGTATATAGTAACAAGTCAATAGGTGCAGACACCACATTTTGACCGACCCTAAGACTTAGGTGCTTTCTTTTGATTACCTGATAATGAAAATTAGAATTTGTTTCTCACATAATTCTCAGTAAGAAATATGAAATTTGTGCTTCATTTCCAAACCCTAAGCTTGTTTTGGCCAAATGTTTAAATCCCGTTCACAACTCTCTTTTGAAACATTCTTTCCACGATTGGCTCCGAATATTTTCGTAGTGTTCCGAGGGTCGCTTTCAAACTTAAAAATGAAACATTTTCTGAGAAAATTGAACAAAGAACAATGTCAAAGTAAGACAAAATGATGAGAATTCTATCGAAAAATCTTGTTTCATGTAGTTGGGCCTTGTCCAATGTTTTGGTCGGCTAGCCAACTTTTTGGTTGGGCAGCTTAGATTTTGGCCGGGCTAGTCAAGGTTTTGGCTGACCCACTAATAAATTGGCCGGCCAGCTATTTTTTCCATAAACAAAGCAATTTCCGTAGAATTCTTGCTAGAAGTCTGTGGAACATGTTATTCCAGATATTTCTTGGTACAGTCATGCACGAGATATACAGTCTCTCACCCTCCATTATCTTCATTTGATCTCCGTTGTCAAAAGGGAGTTTGTCCTCTTCCTTAAGGTTGATTTCATTTCAACTACCCTTATCACCCAATCATTCTTGTCTCTCACCTTGTCTCCCACCTCATTGACTTTGCATTCCATTCATTGTCTACATCAAGATGTTCAGAATGTATCAATAATGAGAATAGAATTGAATTGAAAGAGAAGAGAAAAAGTTAAAGGTAAAAAAAGAGAAAGCTTAAGATTGTGTTTAGAGGAGCTCTAGAAATATGATTCTAGTGCATATTTCAATACTTCGATTGGTGTAAGTTTTCAAAAATTGATCCCAATGTCACATTCCAAAACTCATTTCAGATTATGTTTGGAGAGCAGAGAATTTTTGGAATTTTTACTCTACCCTATCATTCTCCCAAACGTCCGGCCTGTCGTCTGGCTAGTTGACTAGAACAATACTCTTTTTTTTTTTGGCCAATCGCCATATGTTATTTGGACCCAAAAAAAAAAAAAATTATATTTGTTTTTTATATTTTTTAAATATAGAATTATTTTTTTAGACCAAAATGACAAATTATTTTTGTGAATTAATTTTAAAAAGAGTTTGGCTATGAGTTTTGAATAGAATTTTTAATAGAGTTTTGAGTTGTGTGTTTGGTTATGAATTATAAGTTTTGAAAATTATTTGCAAAACTCATAACCAAACAAATTTTCTCATTTCATATGTCACATCAAAAATTCAAAACTCAATTCAAAACTCATAACCAAACAAATTTTCTTTTTTCAAATCATAATTCCAAAACTTACAAACTCAAAATATAAGTCTATTCTGAAATCATAATTCTAAAACTACCAAACATTACCTAAGTTTTGAGCCAAAACTTCAAACATACACTGATATTCCATCTATCACCATATCAAACCAAGCCCATAAATTCTATTAGAGACATAATCAAGTAGCTTTGATCAAAAGAGAGTGAGAGCTCTTGAAATTGAGAGAAAAATAAAGAGTTGGAACAACTCCCCCCTCCCACAAACACTGT